CTGAAATCATAAAGGAAAAAATTGCGCGATCGTTAGGAGATCGAATTGAAATTCCGCCAGGTTACATCGTTAAGGCTCCTGGCTCTTTGCCCATCATGTTACAATTGTGACGTCAGAGGCGACAAAACACACGCTTAAAATTCTTAGATGCCATTTCGAAATAATAAAAAGATATTGCGATAAAACTGCACTTCAGATGGCTTTAGCACACTCTTCTCTCTTTATAATCAATCAACATCCGTAAAATAATCGTGGTTTATCAATAATGTTTCATCGAAATATTTTTTTATTTAAAATTGGCCGCGGCGAGGATCCAGGAACCTTAACAGTCAATGTTTGTTGTTATTTATAAATAAAATTATGTAGTGATCCATCTATATAAAGTTTTAGCGTCATCTTTATACAAATAATAAAAATATGTATTATCTATACACGGAGAGAATTTTCTCTTAAAATTTACCCTGAAAATCATGGTATCTCATTGTTAGATGAAAAAAGTGTTATCTTAACTAAATTATCTAGAAAATTTCATTTATCGCATACATCTCATCATACCACATAAAAATACTTAAGCAAGAAACCTTAAAACTTGAGCAGTAAGCGACAAGAACTTAGAAATAAAAATATGAATATATTTTTATAATTTCTTTTATAATTTACATTTTTTTTTATAAAAGCGGGTTTAAAAATAATATTATCTGGAATGCTATCTAGATGAATCGCGATATAACTTTCTTTTATCTAGCTATATTTAAAACAAAATCATCTTCATCTTATATAAAATAAATTTACATATTTTTATCTCATCTTTATCTAGCTAATTTTGAAATCATTTAAGCACAACACTGTTAACAGTAAATGGATAGAGAGTTTTGTAAACGGATCGTGAAAATTCTCTCTTCTCTCATTTACGAATTATATCAATCTTCATTATATGTTCTAGTAGAACTTAGATGGAATTTAGCACAAAATATAATTAGATGTATGCGATAAAAGATATGCGATAATGTCAGGATTAAAAGAAATATAAATTAGGAATAAAAGAAATATAAATTAGATGTATGCGATAAAAGATATGCGATGATGTTAGGATTAAAAGAAATATAAATTAGGAATAAAAGAAATATAAATTATTGAAGAGAAAAAGAGAGACATATGACGCAAAATAATTATTATCAGAAAATATATGAGATGCGCGAGATGCATTCATTTCCTTTTGCGGATTTAGTAATTACGGTAATTGCGAACATTAATTTCGCGATGTATCGTGTATAACGAGGCTTCTATTTTTATCTGTGCGATAAATTGTAAATCAGGCATATAGTCGCGGATTCATTAGACTCTTAATCAGGCACCGGTACTTCGATGAATAATTAAACGTACACGTTCAATAACGTGGTTGAAATTTCTCCACGAGAGAAGAGCCCAGTCTCTCTTTCCGGTCAAATATAGAACTAGATAATTATTATATAGTCCATACCGCGAATAATCTTAACACGCATATCCGATTCGATATATACATACATACAGAGTGTCCCAAAATTAATAGCAAACCTGTTAATGGTAGATTCCTGGAATCATTTGGAGATAATTTCTCCTCAAAATGTTGAGACATCAATAATTTTCGAGTTATAAGCGATTGAAATAAGGGGTTTTTCGTAAACTAAGCCTTGTGGAAATAAAATATTAACAACATCACATTCTTTTATTAATTTCATGTAGAGTTTACTTTACTAGAATTTTAATTTAAGGCTTAATCACGAAGATACACGATGGCATTGGAAACATGCAAAAAATGATAGCTTCTTTCGCCGAGGAAAAATCGTCTCCAAATGACCCCAGGAATCTGCCATTAACAGATTTGCTATTAATTTTGAGACACCCTGTATATGTATATACTGTCTTCATCAGGGCGCGTTATTCGCAGAAATGCGAGCGAACGCATTGATACACGTCGCGGTTATCTTTTAGGGGGATGCTGACCGACAAAAGAGACAAATCGCGCGGCGCGTTTCGCGGAATTGACGCCTTCCGTTTTCGATCGTCACGCGATTAAGCGCCCATAAATCAATGAACCGGGAACATATGGTGTGTGTCCGCGATAGTCCAGAGGCCGGCGATACTTCATTGTCGCATTGACGCCAACAGCGCCCGTTTATCATTACGTCACATTTGTTATTGCGCTAGATAATTATAGCAAAATGCACTTTACAAGATAATGATAATTGATTCTCTATACATGTATTCTCTATATCTTTAAGCAAATTATTAATATTATTTATAGCTTTATTTATAGACATTATTTATACACGGAGAGAAAATTTTCTCTTAAAATTTACCCTGAAAATCATGGCAATCGTGCGACAATATGGTATTGGAAGAATCTTATTATGAGTTTCTCTGATTAATATTTACCACAATAAAAATTTTACTATGTACATATATATAATAATATTTTTATTGTGGTAAATATAATCAGAAACTCTTATAAGATTCTTCCAATACCATATTGTCGCGCACGATTACCATGATTTTCATAGGGTAAATTCTAAGAGAAAATTCTCTCTGTAATTTTATATGATTTACATAAATTATTTTCTTAATTTATAATATAAAAATCTTTACATAATTTCATTATTCTTCTCTTATATGATTTACATAAATTATTTTCTAATTTTTTCTCTCTCTTATATATCTCTCTAAAAATCTCCATTATTTCTTCCCTTTCACGTACTCTATTTCATAGGGTGAATTCTAAGAGAAAAGTCTCTGTGTAATTTTATATGATTTACATAAATTAATTTCTTAATTTTTATTTATAATTTTTTTTCTCTCTTTATATATATCTCTCTAAAAATCTCCATTATTTCTTCCCTTTCACGTACTCTATTTCATAGGGTGAATTCTAAGAGAAAATTCTCTGTGTAATTTTATATGATTTACATAAATTATTTTCTTAATTTTTATTTATAATTTTTTTCTCTCTCTTTTATATATATCTCTCTAAAAACCTCCATTATTTCTCCCTTTTTACGTACTCTATTTCGGTATTATTTCCGCTACCCGCGTGAAAAATATTGCAGGAAAGCGCCGAACAGGCGTTCCCGAAGTATTCGAGACGTAGCCGTATAGTAGAGAGCTCGAATTGAAATATCGCCAAAGTCGGAGCAAGAGAGAGAGAGAGAGATCCTCGAGTTCTCTCGGTGTTTCTATGCGAATACCATCAGCCATTCACGGAGAGAAATCGTCCTTCACCCCTCTTTCATCCCTCTTTCGTCGACCACCGATGCACATGTCGCGCGCCTCAGTTTTCCCGCACCATCATCTTCCAGCGATTTTCCTCCCTCGTGAACTTTCTTCCTCCTCCTTTTCCGCTAAATCGCACCCCGCGGCGACTCCGTATTTTCTTTTCAAAGTCTTTATACAAGGTGTCCTTATGCAAGGATCTTTTATGTATCAAATCTCTCAAACTCGATGGCGATTTCTCAAGGGGATGCTGACTAGGTCTGTTTTATCGACAAATATTATTTTCATTTAACTCTTTATTGGGTACAGAATGAGAAATCCTTTACTAGAATTATAAAGTATTCATAATAATAAATCTGGACTATTACATAGGTATATAAAAAAAAAAAACAAGAAATCTAAATAATTACAGTTTGTCTAAGGAAACTGTAATTATTTAACTTTCTTGGTTTCTTTTTAAATACACATGTAGTAGCCTATATTTGTTATTACGAATACTGTAATTCTAGTATAGGATTTTTCATTCTATAAAATCAATAAAGAATTAAATGAAAATAATATTTGTCGATAAAACAGACCTAGACAACACCCCCTTAAGACGCGAAATAGATCGTGATTGTAACACTTTATTATCCAAAATTATTATCGGATTTATTAAAAGAGATTAGATATGCAGCATTTTTTTGCACCCACCTGTCGTTCCTTTCTCATGTCATCCCTAACGAGTACAATTCGCTCCGATCTCGATGCAGAGAAACAACGAGGAACCGGATAAAACGGGCCGACAAAAACTGGTTCTCCGTCATCGAATGCGAAATCTGTCCAGGCGAAAACTGCATTTCCACCTGAATGCGCGTACGAGATATTTAATAATTGGCGGCGCAACCGAAAAAGAAACGACAAGGAAGACTGACAGAAATAAGCTGGATAATTCTTATTCAATATGTCACTTCCCATATAAATTTTCAATGAATTTCGTTTGAGAAAATAATTCTCGTCCCTTGATGATGATATTCGACACTTTTGATTGGCGCTCTTGTAATTAAAGCTTAAATTGAGCTTGCAAAGAAAGAGAGATTGAATAAAGAGCATAAAGGCTTAAAGCTCAATTCGCGAAAGCTCTGATTTTCAATATGCTATAATTTGGAAGCTCTTTTATAAAGCCCTCGAATTCTCGCGGAGGAATGACTCGCTGCAAATTGGTTAAAGAATTTGTGAATGTAAGGGGAACGACACCCTTTATGCTCCACCTATATGTAGGTGATTCGACTAAAAGCGTATATGTGAGCATCGATTTGCAGCTCGACCAAGAGATGGAACGTGCTTTGGGGCGGATTAATATTTCAATGCGGGAAAGAGCGTCGTGAGAGATGCCACCATTATTTCGCGAATTCCAGAAGCCGCATCATCATCGTATACTCGATACGGAGTGCCTCCGATCCAAGTCTGAATACTCTGCTTTTATTGTGCAATAAATATAACAAGTTATTTCTAATATTTATTTTTTTGTAATATACATTTTCGAATATCGCTGAATAAAAAAAATAATAATTGTATTAGTTTTAATATTTTAGATTGAGTAATTATTATTCGGAAAGCTAATTGAGACTCACAAGCTGAAGCAATATTATACTATGCAATAAATATAACAAGTTATTTCTAATATTTATTTTTTGTAATATACATTTTCGAATATCGCTGAATAAAAAAAATAATAATTGTATTAGTTTTAATATTTTAGATTGAGTAATTAT